TTGCTAGAAAGACAGAAAGACAGAAAGTGAGAAATAACCTCCCAGCGGGGATGGCCATGCCACAATCCCTTCTCCTCCATTCTCTTTTCGGGATCTTGGGCACACACCCTGTGTGAGTTTAAGCCACCGAGTCTGGTACTCAAACCGTGGTGGACTATGTGGGAGTCCAGTGACAGCCATTATGCCAACTGCTGGTCCCGGACCCAGGTATTTCTGTTAGCAGCAATGCTAACAGACTAAGCCAAATACTGGGTGATCAGAAGAGTCATGATGCATTTTGCATAGGAAAATGAAGAAAAACACGTTATGACTTTTCAGACAACCCAGCAGCCTGGTCTTAATGTGTGCATTAACTTTTCCTCAAGCCAAGCTCATTTTCACATTTGAGCTTGTACATTAGCTATTTCTCCAGCCTAGAACACCCTCTCACTCTTCCCCATCCCCTTCATTGCATGTCCGACTCTTTCATGTCACTCAGATATCATTTTAAATGTCATTTCCTCAGAGAGACCTGCACTGACTGTTCAATTTAGAGCAGCTGCCCACTTGCTCTTTAACACATCACATTATTTTAACTCTCTGCATAGCACTTAGATTGCCTGATATTTTTTGTCATTTTTTTTCTGTCTGCTCAGACAGAATGTGAGTCCCCATGACAGTACAGACTTGTCTTATCAATCAATAGGTAAATAAATAAATTTAAGTTAAAACACTTTGGCATATATACAATTTTATGCTATCCAGTGCTATTTAGAGGACACTATGCAATTATACCAAAGGCTATGGATGTATCAGGAATACAAGGTCCAGGGAAGACCACCAAGCACTCTAATTTGGAGTTCCATATTCTAAATCCTAGAGCAGCCCTGTGTAATACAAAAATAAGTATGTCACACTTTAATACTAAATTTGATAGTAGCCACATTAAAAATGCTAAAAGAAAACAGATGAAAGTAATTTTTGTCTTTTTTTTTTTTTTTGGAGAGGTTTTTGCTGTAGGGCTCCAGAAAGACAGAGAGAGACAGAGAGACAGAAAGTGAAAAATCACCCCCCAGAGGAAATGGCCATGCCACAATCTCTTCTCTTCCATTCTCCTCTTGGAATCTTGGGCACGCACGCACACGTGCCCTGAGTGAGTTTAAGCCACTGGGTCTGGGACTCGAACCACGGTCGACTACATAGGGGTCCAGCGACATAGCCATTATACCCACTGCTGGTCCCCGAAATTAATTTTTGTAATATATCTTATTTAACCCAATAGATCCAAGATATTATTTCAAGCAATAATCACTGTAAAAATTTTTAAAGTTTATTTCTTTTGTCTATGAGCAAGAGAGACAGAGAAAGAGAGAGACAGAGAGATGGGCACCTTCTAATAGGATCATCATGCTGTCCTCCACACCCGGCCTTAGCCAGCCCCAGACCATGGACACACACACGCAGAGAGAGGTTAGGGGGATCTCCAGACGTGAACTCAGAGCTTCCCACATGGGTTAACCTTGCAGGGCATGGCGTTACTACTGAGCCATAAGTCAGCCCCACCAACAGCAAATTATTAGTGAGACAGTTTACATTTTTGAGTAATAGCTTTATACTAAGTCTCCCAATTCTGGTGCATCTCTTACACTTCCAGAACATTTCAATCTGGCTTAGCTGACATGACCACACTTGTCCGATGGCTGCCGTGCGGACAGGGCAGCTCTAGATGGACTCATGTCCCTGTCCGCTAGATCTTGACCACATCTGAGACTGTGCAAACTATCGAGTTGTTGGGAAAGCCTTGATGTATTTTTTTCTACGTGTAAATGGGTCATGACTTTTCCAATAACCCGATAGATAACACAATAATTAAGGTCTGACATTTTCTTTTCCCCACTGTTGAAATGATGGCTTCTTTCATAGCAAGATGGAGATTTTAAAAGAGCTTTAGTGGGTGGAATTAAAAATACTAAAGAAATGTCGGTGGGCTGTGCTATTCCAGAGACACTTTCCACTCCAGATGCTCAGAATGTAAGGCCTGCATTCCTAACCATGGCACTCCAAGTGGGATCCCTAGAGAGTCCCTGGTCCACACATTGGTTTAGAAGGATTTAAGACTGTGTGATGTCAACCCCAGGGTTAGTAGATCCTGCCTCTGGAGTGTGATCCTGTTACCTGCCAGTAACAGTGATCTGAGCACACGAAGCACCTAAAGGGACAGAGAACTGTCGCCTTCCCTAATTCACAGAACGGGAACTGTTTCATACTCGATTGCTAATGAATTTTCTTTTCTTTTTTTGATTATGCTGTATGTTTGGCAGATTTGTTTTTGTTTGTTTGTTTATCCTGAGGCTCCCTTTCAGCCTGGCAGTAAGGCAGGGGGAGTCGCTAACTCTCACGTGCCTCGAATTTCATTAGCAGTGATGGTTTAGTGAATTGTACTTAAGAGTTGTAAGTGAACAGGACCAGCAGATGGCGTAATGATTAGGTCCCTGGACACCCACGTAGTCGACCATGGTTTGAATCCCAGGCTCAGTGGCTTATGACTCATGTGTGTGTGTGTGTGTGTGTGTGTGTGTGTGTGTATGTGTGTCCAAAATCCCAAGAGGAGAATGGAGGAGATGAGGTTGCAGCATGGCTATCCCCTGGGGAGTGATTTCTCACTTCCTGTCTCTCTGTCTGGCCGGTAAGTATACATCCTCTTTAGAAAAAAAATCTCTCTCTAAAAAAGAGAAAAAAGAAAAGAAAGAAAGAGAGAGCTGTACATGACTAAGTGGGCTTCAGTGAGTACATAGCACCCCTAGCCCTCAGGGCCAACCTCTTCTCAGCCCTTAACTCTCAGCTCAAGCCAACCTTCACAGGAGCTTCTTGCCCAATGCCCCTCCCTGCCCCCAGCCTCTTCCCCTCCCACTCCCATCACCTTTCTCAAAGGTCCTCTGCATTGTAATTATTTTTATGTATATATGCATTCTATATTGCAATTATTTTTATGTATGTGCCCCTCAATGGACTGTTAACTCCTCCAAGGGCAAAGGTCATATCTTTTCATCTTCGTCTAACTAGCAAAGCAAATCGATGCTTTGCTCTCAATATGCATTTAGTAATCATTGGCTGGATGAATGAACTAATGAACCACAGAGTATATTCCATTAGTGCCAAGGAAATGCTCATCATGGGACGGAGCCTTGTGCGACATGTCCTGCCTCAGTGCCTCGTAATCCAAGTCAGATCATCAAAGACAGGAGGAGCAGAGATGGCCCGAGGTGACAGTCACAGGAGTTGGTAGCACTTTTCTTAATTTCTCCATTAATGAGAGCAATAGCTTTTTAGTTTTTGTTTTTTAATTCATCATCGGAGTTCATTTAGCTAATTCACTCTTTTTTATCTTTAGGTTGACTAACTGCAGATCTTGCCTATGACTGCTTTTATTAGTTTGGTAATGAGTTTGTTAAATTTAAAAGTCATTAATTGCTTGTTAATGTTTGCAAGTTTGACACACAAATGCAAAATATTTCCCTTCATTCTAAGTTTGATCTAGAAATTAATTATATTACCTTCCTTTGCTTCGGGGCTTGTGTGTTTTCCCATCTAAAGGTATGCTTTGTTTGAAATTAAGCGATTTTTATAACCTCCCTCTGAAAATTGACGAAGGGCACTTGCTCTTTTAATCTGGGTAATGTTATCTGTGATTTTGAATTAGCCGTTCTTTTGGGGTGCATTAGTTACCTTTAGCAGTGTGCCGTCTCTGTCTTCTGTAGCTAGTCATAGAATGTCATGATGTCCATGCCTTTTAGCTTTTAATTCTCTCCAGAGACCCAGCTAGAAAGCCAGACCCTTTACAAATTTTGTCACATGCGTCTGCTTTCAGGAAAGTGTACATTCTGAGGCTTTTATGAAGCTATCCTCCCCCCAGCACACTCTTATTATTTTTCTTCATTTTACACTCCCCTGAGGGAAGTTATTTTTCTCAGCTTCACTAATTCCTGTTACTCCAGTGGTCCACTCTGACTTAAGAAGGGAAGAATTATGACTTCCAGTTCCAGAAGAAGGACAGAGACAAGACTGCACATGAGGCGGCCACTCAAAGGGCCAGCCCTCACCCTGGAAGCTTCTGATCTGCAGTTAGAAGCCCTATGGCGAAGCATGTCCTTCCCATCACGACGCAGGGCTCGTCTTGTGAGTAAAGAGCATATGACTCCTTGAAGAGCATAGGGCAGGAAACTATGAAATTGCTCTAATGTTCAACACCAGGAACCCCCAAAGCATTAAAGAGAGAGAGGAGCAACTGGTAAACCACAGATACTTAGGCTTATTATTCAGTGAGGAAAAAAATGTGATAACTGATTCATCTTACTCGTCGTGGTCTCTATATTGATTGGGATTCAAAATAAAAAGTAGCTGGATATTGTTCATTGGTTGAAAGTATGGGCTTTGCAGATTTTTGCTTAGTCTTTTTGTTGTTGTTGTTGTTGTTAAGAGACTTTTGCTTAGAGTGCATGAATTCACCAGAGAGAGAGAGTGAGAGAGAAAGGGAAATCATCCCCCAAGGGGGATAGGCACACCACGATCCCTTCTCCCCCATTCTCCTCCCGGGACCTTGGGCATGCATACACATGTACCCAGTGTGAGTTTTAAGCTGCTGGGTCTCTGACTTGAACCATGGTTGGCCATGTGAGAGTCCAGTGACGTAACCACTATGTCATCTGCTGGCACCGAGAACCATAGAATCTTAACACTGGAGCGAACCCTGGGTGCCAGGTAATTATTTAGGCTACTGGTTATTAAACCAGGATTTTATTTAAAAAAATAATATAGAGACTCCACAAATGTTTGAGTCAAACTTCATTTTTCAAGTATCTACAAACATTAAAAAAAAAAAAACCTTGAGACCTTAAAATATGACACATACATTCAAACAGGAACTAAGTCAAATTTAACACACTGAAGAGCATTGACCCAACGAATTCTGTAGATTAATTCTACTTGGGTAGACCTTAAAATGAAACATCTTCCATCTCTGTGGATGTATTTGAACTTCATGGAAATAGGTTATTGATTAGAAAGGTCTGTGCTAGTCTTTATCAAATTCAGGCCCACCCAGATTCGTCTCAGTTGTAAGGACGGGCGTTTGATGGCGGCTTATCCATGTGGTGTTTCCTTCAGTGTCAGACAAGGCCCAGCTGCTGGTTAGAGGCTGCAATCCTGACACAATCATCAGACCTACAAAATCAGAAAAGTTGCCATGTACTGCATGTTTATTATGCAATGAGAATAATACTAACTGAATGTTGACTCTTAATTTGATTATTTAATCATAAATCATTTAACTCTACTGCATTCCTCCTGGTGTTTTATGATGATTAAATGAGAAGATGCATATAAGCTACTGAATACAGGACTTGGCCCGTGGGAAGCATTCAATATGTAGTGAGGATGATTCACTCTCACAAACATTCCTCTGGGATTATCTGCAATTCACTTGAACATACTCCAGTGGAGTATGTGTTAGTTTTACTCTTTATCCTACAGACTGGGTAGTTAACATATGTAGTTCCTTAAATGAAAATATATAACCCAGGGCATTAGTTAGTATTTTAAAGACTCCAATACACAGCACAGACTCCGCTGTCTTCATTTCTGATCTGAATCAGGTTTTCTAATTAGCAATATGCATATAGAAATGACATTTCACTAGAGAAATAAATAGTGTTCAAGAAGGAGTGAGTTGACTAGAAATATTGAATAGGCACTCCCATCCTTAAATGTATAGGAAGCAGGAACGTTGGCTACCCCAATAGTCTACTACACCCTTCAAGTGGTAACCTATGCTTCAGATTATAAGTACTGCTGGCGTAGTTAGAATTTAATGGAGGATTATGTCACCTGAGCAACTAGGTCAGCGGAATCCTGTGGTCAGACAATTGCTGCACCTGCCTGAAGTGAGACTTTCATGTGAGGCGCTTTCAAAGTGTCTGAAGGGCAGAGAGTTGGCAGCCACTGAACTTGCATAAAATAAGGTAGACTGGCTGTTTAATGCGTGCTTGCAAACATGGCCGAATGTGGTCGTTGTAACGTACTTCCTATGCCCAGGGTGCCATGGAAGAGACCTATACTAACTTCTATCTACTCAAGAGAACCTAGTAATTCACAACAATCTGCATCTTGCAAATGAGGAAACAAGCTGAAAGAGGTTCTGGACTTTGCGCGGGGTCAGTTGAGGTCAAGTGGTAGGGCTGAGCTACTTCCTGTCCAAGCTTCTGTTCCTCCCCAACATGGCCCACTGCCCCTAAGAAAGAGACCGCGTTGGTGAGTAACTGCCGCATGACGATAATATCATCGCTTCGATGGTCTTAGCAGTTTGAGAGCTCCGGGGGCTTCCAGTCTGACTTCTGTTCTATGATAAGGCCGGCATGTGGCTGTCAGATACTGTTAATGATTCAGACTTCAAACAACACGTCTTGCTAATCTTCACTCCGGCTTCTGAGTTCCTCCAACTGGAGATATTAAAGAGAAGAGTGAAAACACGGTACCGTTCACAATATTGGGAACCAAACCAAAACAAAAACATCATTTGAATTTTTGAGCCTGATGTGAGATGATATCTGTCATTCATAATTTCAGATATTGAATTTTTAATCTTCTGTAAATAGCCCCATTTTTCTCGTAGGTGACTTTATAGGGAGTAACTACTATACATTTGAAATGATAAAATAAACGTATATTGACACAGTATAACGTTGACTGGTTCTGTATTGGTGTATAGTATCTTACAGGATAAATGTGACCTGTTATTATAAATAACCTTCAAAGTCATTGTTTTTGGAGGTGACATAACAGCATAGGCTTCAAACCCCCGTGTTTATTTCAGCTGGGATTTGGTAAATTGTTTAACCTCTCTGAGATTTGGTTTAGTAATATGTAAAAGAGATAATACAATAAAATGGAAAAGATTTTGTGAAAACTAAATGAACTCAAATGTGTGATACACTTACCACAATGTTCCACATGACATTTTTATTATTTTATAATTATTATTACTATTATTAACACCATCTTTATTATCTAGTGCCATGATCCACCTGAAGCAAAACTCTCCTATCCATTTTGCCTGTTATCACTAAGCTCCCTTGAGTAGGGAGGGAGATCACTGCTTACTATCCCATTGAATCCACGCCTATTCCTGGAAATTGACACGTGGGTTCTAGTTCTGCCTCCCAAGCCAAGAGTCTCCCTCTGGCATCAAGATAGCTTCTTGGGGACCAGCAGATGGCATAATGGCTACGTCACTGAATTCCCATGTAGTTGACCGCGGTTCGAGTTCCAGACCCCGTGGCTTAAACTCACGCCGGGCGCGTGTATGTGCATGCCCAAGATCCCGAGAGGAGAATGGAGAAGGGATTGTGGCATGGCCATCTCCCTGGGGGGTGATTTCTCACTTCCTGTCTCTCTCTCTTTCTGGCGAGCGCACGCGCCCTATAGCAAAAGCCTCTCAAAAAAAAAAAAAACAAAAACAAAAAACCAAACAACCTTTTAGCTATTTAAAAAAAAATAATTATTTTTAAATTTACCTATTATTATTTGTTATTTTAAAAATTTGCTATAGAGCACGTGCACTCACCAGAGAGAGAGGGGAAAGTGAGAAAGAAAGCCACCAGGACTTGAACTGCCGTAGGCCATGTGGGAATCCAGCACCTCAACCACCATATCACCTGCTGGCTGTAGCCCTTTAGCTATAAAATGACATCTTCACATGAGAGGGAAGGGCTAGCCAAACAGGACAGCTTGACGTTGGCTTCTTCTGTCTGATGACATAAAGAGAGTTACAAAGAGTTTGTCTAGGGATAAACCAGCTTCCGACGCAGCTACGTTGAGCAACTGTATACCCTAAGCAGAGTTTTTAAAATATGTACACTATCAGCCAGGCTCTAGGGGTTTTCTGGGGAGGGCAGTTTGAGAAGTTGGGAAATCCTGCTGTGTTTTGTGATTGCAGTGGCTGCTTGTCCTCAGGAGCCTGGAGCAAATGTGAACTGTCCTGGAAAGACCGACATTCTAGCACCTGCTACCGGCTCTGCAGCACCTCCCATTACTCCCTTTTCATGGAGGAAGAGTGAGGCTCATGGGCTGGGTGTGAAGTAGCTCGCACCGAGATGGGCACGTAGGGCTGGAGCTGAGTTTCCAGCCTACCCTGGTGAATCCAGAGCCCACGTTCATCTCTCTCCAACAGTAAGGAGTCACCTGAGTCCTGGGGACGTTTCTTGGTAGCTGATTTTAGCCTAATAGTAGAAAGCAGTCCATGAGTGAGTTGTTACTTTCTAACTATACCAAGTATTAACATTTAGTAGCTGCGTTTGGCCAACCTCAAGATTTTTTGGTTTTGTCTTTTTTCAGAGTTCCCCCCCCCCATAGGGCACATGCACTCACCAGAGAGAGAGAGACAGAGACAGACAGTGAGAGGGAAAGTGAGAAGTCACCCTTCGAGGGGATGGCCACACTGAAGTCCCTTCTCTTCCATTATCCTCCTGAGATCTTGGGCACACACGCACACATGCCAGTGTGATCTTCAAGCCACCAGGTGCAGGACACAAACCAAGGTCGGCCATGTGAGAGACTGCAACGTAACCACTCCGCCATCTGCTGGCCTCCAACCTTAAGTTTTAGTCGATATTTTTCTATTTTATAACACGGTAAAGGGATTGTAAAAACACTATTTCTTCCTCCAAGGCTCAAAAATAAAATTTCCATTTGCAATGAAAAAAAGTAACACAACCTGGAGGACGTTCTTAGGACTACTGAATTGGCTCCTGGGCACAGGTTGCTGTCACTTGGCACCTTCAACTTCTATGGGGACTCTCGGCTCACGCATTTGCTTCCCTGAACATTAAAGCCTTGCCTTCGAAGCGTCAAAGAGGCTAAAGGAGTACCAGGGGCTCTGAACACTACTTCAGTAATTCTGATTATCAGGAGGAATTGCAGCAGAAGATGGTGATTAAACTCCACAGCAGGTTTGAATCTTGGTCCTGACCACTCGGCAGCACCATGACCTCAGACCTGTGTCTTTCTTTATTTCTGTGGGACTCAGCTTCCTCGTCGGTTAAGTCAGGGTAAGGGCAGTGGAGTCCTCACAAAGGTTGAATGAGCTGAGCGTACAGCCCCGACCAAGGCCGAGCATGCTGTGGGGACTTGAAAGGGCCTCATACTTCTTACTGTTTCTCCTGCACGGCTGAGAACTGAATAGTCTAGGTGGCGATTGAGCACCTTGAAATAAACTTTACTTTTTACTACTATGAGGGGAGGGAGTGAGAAAAGGGAGGTAGTTATTCAGTATCAGAAGAAGCTAATCAGGAATCCACACTCCAGAAGTAACTGTTTAAGTATTGCTTTTCTTTTTTTTAAGAGACGTTTTTGCTATAGGGCACATGCACTTGCCGGAGAGACAGAGAAGTGAGAAATCCCCCTCCAAGGGGTATGGCCACACTGCAATCGCTTCATTCTGTTCTCAGAATTTGGGGCATGCACATACACGTGCCCAGCATCATGAATTTCAAGCTGCGGGTCCGGGACCTGAATTGAGGTTAGCTATGTGAGAGTTCAGCACCTCAACCACTATGCTACTTGCTGATATTACAAAAATACATGCCAGAAGGTTCTTTAATTGGTGGATGGGGAGCGACCCAATGTTCTTCCTTTGGGGCCCGCAGAGTTGTTCGATATGTGTCATAGAAAGTTTTGGCAAGCCTCGCTACCCCTGACAGACAGGGTAAGAAGCTGGGATCTTCAGAGTTGCAGCTCTCCCCCAAGCTGTTCAGTCTCAAGTTCACTTCCTGATTCTTGGAAGGCTCTGTTCCCATGACACATTTGGAATGCTGGCTGGGATCAGAACATCAAGGAAAGCCTCCCGGGGCGTGTGCCGTGAGTGAGGTGTGGTCAGAAGGCCTGTGGACAAGCAGCGGGCCTTTCCAAGCCTAGGAGAACAAGCTCCGTGACTGTGCTTGTACTTGCCTGATGACACACGTTTATACTTTAAGAAGTCAGTCCAGGTTATATTTTCATTGTAACATATCGCCTTACTAGATGGCAATTTGGGGAAGATTAGAGGAGAGGGGGTTTATGGCTTTTACCCATCTCTCTGGCCAGCAGAGAGTAATCTTATTAGAATAACCAGTGACTGGTTGAGTGACCAGGTTGGTGTAGGTCAGTTCTCAACAAGGAGGAATCTTATAAAGCACTGGGCATGATGCTCGATGTACCCCTCCTCCTTCTCCCCTGTACCCTTATGCTCCTGCCAGAGGGCAGGATGGTAGGTCCCCACCTTTCATTCACTTATTCAACACCCATTTACGGAGTGCCTGCTACAAGCCAGGTGCTATGCTAGGTGTGGGGAATAGGTGTAGTAGTGATCAAAACACACACACACCCCTGCTCACATTCCAGGGAAGGAAGAGGGACAATAAACAGAAATAACTAGTAACAGCTCTCCTTTCCCTGAATCCCGTATTTGTCCTGGACAGCAAGATGGCGGTGGGGCCAACTTTGCGAGAGGGAAACAGAAGGCATCTTGGGAAAGCTGCTTCCTTGTGAGTGGACTGGGCTGCTGGGTGCTAGGAATGACTTGTCCTAGCGCTTCAGACCAGTTCTTCGATGTACATGTGCAATAAACAAATGAGGAAGCAAAACACAAGCAAAAAAAAAAAAAAAAAGAAAAGAAAAAAGAAAAACCTGCCCTTTTAGTTTGATAACAAAGTCCAACTTGTTGAAGAGCCAACTCTTTTTATTTATTTATTTCAATTTTGCCAGAGTAACATGTACTTTGCTAGGGAGAGGGGAAAAGCGAGATAATACCCCTGGTGGGATGACCATGACACAATCCCGTCTCCTCTATTTCTCTTTCCTCTCGGGATTTTGGGCACGTATGCACACACCCCCAGTGTGTTTCTCAAGCTTCCAGGGTCTGGGACTAGAACCAGGTAGGATTGATATGGAGAGTCCCTGAATTTATGAATAACTCAAGGCTGATAGCTATCTAAGGTTTCTGCCCTCTGGCAAACTTACTGGTCCCCCCTGGAGCTACAAGTTAACCTGAAAACCTCGAAGAGATTAGTACCTTGAATAGATTAGTATCTTGAATAGATTAGTCTTCCTGCTTCTCTGTCTCCTCCCTTTGACGCTGCATAGGGTGAGTTCTGAGTCCAAGACTGCCCCTTCCCCTTCCCCAATTCCCCCCCTAAAAGACTGTGTCCAATCCCCACTAGGGTCTGGCTATTCAGAGTGTTAACTCCTTCATGTCCGCTGGCGTGATAAACAGTTCTCTAATCTCCCTGAGTGTTGCTTTCCATTCCTCAGTGTCTAGTTTTGTTAGCCACATGTCATGGGCTGGCCCCAAGAGGCAGCTCATACATGGAGAACTTCATGGGAGCTCTGTATTTGTTTCGGACAGAGACAATTGCAGGTGGAGCTCTCTACCTCCATGGGACCAGTGTCCCTTATGGTTTTCTAG